CCAGCACAATCGCGAAATTAACACTGAAAGAGGGGGATTTGGGACTTCTTCTTTGGTAAGTAGATGGGTATATATGTGGTGAACATCAATATGCAAAAAGTCCAGAGGGGTCTTGATTTTGCTATCCTATGGCATAGAGCCTCTTTAATCAAAATGAGCAGAACAACTTCTTGATTATTTTTATTAATCATGTAGGTCAAAATCATACTTACAAAAACTGATCTAGATCCTATCATAAACGTTGATGCTCATTGTCACTCAAGCATGACCTTGTCAAAAACAAGAAGTGATTTTGGTAGTTGTTTAAGAAAGATACACTTTTTGCTAGATTATTCTGTATTTGCATTCAAGTCACTCATCAGATGTCACATAGTTTGTCAAACTTTATTTTCAATTAAAATTACGTTGTTTATTATGTCGAAGTACATGCCACTATGGAAAAGAGATAAAAGGAATTAATTAAAGATAAGTAAATATTCATTTTGCTAAAAATTGACTGCAATCTGACCCATTATCATGTGTATCATGGTAAAAGGTCCCAACATTGAAATTATGATACTATTTAATGATAATCCTAAAATGTTATGGATGGTCATTAAGCCTACCCCTATAAATTTTAGGGGTATGGGTAAAAATTGCGAAAAGTAGATAAAAAATGGAGGAAATTTTCGGCACAGTTGCTTTTTACACCCAGGAAGGTTGTCTGGTCATATATGGAAAGTTCCACGATTTGTTCCATTTTCGGCGCTTTCGCCCTTTTTTATGTCACTATTTATCTCGCTATACAGAGATCAAACATATGTCTATACACATATCCGAAGCCAGATCCAGCCCCTTTTGGTATTGGCTCAAAGAATAAATGAGTACATAAAAGAAAGCTTATTTTATTATAACAATTTTATTGTCATTCTTGGAAAACACATGTGTATATCACTAAGGCCTATTCCAAAAGTGATGTGTTTAAAATTCCACCACAATCTGACAATATCCAATATTGTATACAAAAGTTACAAAACCTGAACATTTCATTTGTTTTATTTCATTAAACATTTCACCTTAGGAACTGGGTAGATAGATGGCGTTCCAAAATGAAATTATTTGATTACAACTTAAACTGACCATGAAACAGAACCAAATGTTTAGATTCATTACTATAAATTGCTTTAATTTGGTGCTAATAGATATAATATTTAATTTGGCGGATTGCGCTTTTGAAATTTAGGCTGCAATTTAAAGGTGCAACAATGACAGCAGAGGGGCCCTTCAAAACTGAATGTTTAGATTCATTACTATAACAGTATAAATTGCTTTAATTTGGTGCTAACAGATATAATATTTAATTTGGCGAATTGGGCTTTTGAAATTTTGGCTGCAATTTAAAGGTACAACAATGACTGCAGATGACAATGACAAGTGTCAAAATATATTTAAGTTTGGTTACTTTTTCAAGACTAACGCTACGCCCATGCAGTTTGGCAAAAGGAGATTGTTCTTTATATGCATGCTAAGTTTCAAGCTAAAATATCCACCAATTCTTCAAGATAAGCAAATATGTTCCTGAGCTGGGAATCTTTGAAATCGCGGAGACAGGTTTAATCACAGCGTGCAATTGATATCAAATGACATCATATTTCTATTTGTGCTACATAGTGATATAAGATGACGTCACAATTTGAAATTCGTTTACGAACGATAAAACTTATGAATGACTTACGAAAGTGTTCTGTTAATGGCCAATTCGTAAATTTACCAATTCGTAACTTTTTAAATATTTACGAATTTCATAAAGTTACGAATTACGAATTCGTAACTTTGCGAAAGTTCTGTTAATGACCCCCAGATTAATTAATCTAATAATATTGAAATGGACAAAAAAGTCATTTAGTCTGTTAGTGTCGATTTAGGGGATGAAACCCCCCAGAGGCGATTGGTTCAAAAGCACAGTGTGTTGGTATAAATGGCATAGAGGCATAGAACTGGAATAATCCCATATTATATATAGAGGATATCCTATGATTTATGAGTGATATGATTTTTATCCACGAATGGATATGATATCTGCACGAGCGAGCGTAGATAGCGTAGATAGCGTAGCGAGAGAGTGCAGATATCAATAACCATGAGTGGATTAAAATCATATCACGAGTAAATCATAGGATGTTCTTTTTATTCCATAGTTAAAGTCATCATCAGAATCGTCGGAAACTAAGTCATTTAATTCGAATTTTCCAAACGATCCGGCGATGTTGACACTTAGCCTCGTTTTGAGTCTGAAGTAGCAAAAATCCATAAACCATGGCATACGACGTCGTATGTCATGGCTAAAAAACCGTATGCTATGGTTTAGTGAAAATTTGTCAGAAATATCATATTTTACCACTTCTTACATAAAATATTCTTGGGTGAAACTGTAAATTGCTACCTCCAAATTAAGTTTCCGCCTATTTTTTAAAACTGGTAGCTTTTAGCTAGTTGCTTCAAAACTAGAAGACCCAGGGGCGGATCCAGGAACCAACAAGGGGGGGGGCCCAAATTTCAGGTCAAAGAAAAAACGTCCGCGCTTGCGCGGAAAAAATTTTGGGCCCCTAAAATCCAAAAGTGGGCCCAAATTTTGAAATTTTGAGGCCCATTTTCTTCAAAATTTGGCCTGAAATTAACAAATAAGGCCTTAAAAGGCCCAGTAATGACCAAAAAGGCCCACTTTTTGGGGTCTGAAGGCCTTGTTTGGCCCAAAAATTTTTTTGGGCCCAATTTTTTTTTTCTGGGCCCACCCAAGGGGGGGGGGGCCCGGGCCCCTGGGCCCCCCCCCTAATCCGCCAGTGAGACCAAATTGCATATGTAATGTGCATGATGCAAGAATAGGCTCCAAATACCAGGTTATGTGTAATAAACTCATTGGCTTTGTACAATAAATTACTGTACTCCGGGTATTGTTCGCGTGCGATTTAATTTCACTTTGTTCGCGAATGAAGTAAAATTGCGAACATTTATCGTCGTGAAATTTCTGTTTTAAATCCCTGGAGATTTGACCCGGGACTTTTGATACGTTCGTTCGGTGTAAAACGTTTCGTTTAGTGTTGTTGGGCGATAATTAAAAAAGGCCTAAAATGTCTAACATTTTGAACTGGTTTATTAGGCCAACAAAGGCAAGAACTGTTGACGACAATGATATCCTACAAATTTAAGTTGAAAAAGCTATTCAAAAATAATCAAATAAATGCCCTAATTGTGGGAAATACAAACATGATTCGGATTCTGAACGGGCTAAAATTACCGGCGAAATGTCATCAACTCAAATCCACGAAATTAAATAGCCGCGAAATTGCAATTTTGAAAAATCGCGAAATTTCATAGCGTTGAAATTTACCCGGAGTACAGTATACTCCCATAGGCCTACTTCTCCCAACATGTTCGTTGCTGAGTTCAACTTTAAAATATAAAATATCACTAAATTTATTTTATTTTATGCTTGAAATAAGAGTAATTTTCATTAGTTTTCTTCTCGGTCTTTACACATTGACTTCAACCTGTGTACGAAGTTTCATTTAAAAATGAGTGTTCCATTTGCTAAAAAATATATATAATCCTTTAAAGTTAACCAATGAGTAATACACATTTAATGTGATCTGAAATAATTGGACATTAATCAAGATTTAGTAATTCTTCATGTCAATAGATTGAACCCCGCAACGACCATGTTGATAACTTAGGTTGTGGGTCGGGTATGAGGTTACAAGATTTTTTTGTACAAAGCCCAAATGTTACAATGAGGTTTTATCTTTTCTTCCCCTTTTTTGTTACAACACTCCATCCATCCTCATCAATGTTATCTTTACTTTGGACATCAGTGTTATTAACCTCTAAATGACTGTTATTAACATGCACTGATGCATTTGTTGTGGCAGCTAAGTCAAGACGCTGTATTTCAGTTGCTATATCATCATCACCTTCATCCACCTCCTCAGCTTTTTTAACACTATTTTGTGTTGCAGCCTTTGGAAGTTTTTCCAATTCTTTTAACACATCCATTTCTTTTCCATTTTTGCACATAGCATAGTGTTTACATATGGTCTTAGCAATATTTAGAAGACTACCGTCATCTGCTACCATGTCAAATTCATTGTTTGTAATTTCTCCAATGAATTCTTCAAGTTCAAAATCTTCAATGTCTTTATTGTCTTGAAACCACTGGTATACGGCATCTACCATCCATCTAGATTTTTCCACACTGTCAATACCACCAAAGCCATGTTGAACCGCCAATTGTAGAGCAGTCCAACTTTCAAATACACGTGAAATGGCAGTATAGAAGACTGGTGTTCCATTAGTGGCCATAGTTTACAATTAATTGGTGCGTGTCCACTTTGTTAATAATATGGTGCGTCAGTCTACCCTAATAGCCAATAGTCTAGTGACGCAAGATTCCAATAATCTAACAAGTTACGACACCTTCACAAGAATCGTCACAGCTCCAGAATAAACAGTTCCCTTGACAGCTATAGCATAGCATAAATACAGCAATTATGAACACAATACTACAAATTGTACAGGGTTTTCTCTCCAGGAAAAATCCAGTCAAATATAACACCATGAACATGGCATGGTTGTATAGCAAAGCAGGGTTCAAAGGCTTAGGTATTAATAGCACCGGAATTAGCCACTGCAGGCAATACATTTTAGTCACATATGTGCCTATATAGTACAGCTTTCTAAATCCATAACACTTTCATCAAACGTCGTCTCGAATATTTCATAAAACAGGTTTACTTTTTACTAAAATCTTTCAGAAAACTTTTACTTCCGCTAACAGCATGACGTCATCAAGCCAAAGCTGCTTGAGCTTTGACAAATACAATTACAAAACAAAACGTTTTTTACTAAACTAAATAATGTCATGTAAATATGAGTAGGACACTAAGTTAACAAAATTAAATCAACAAATGTAGGTTATGTGAATACCTTTATACGGGTTATTTATTCCCGATAGTTGTTAATTTGTTGTAATTTGTTTATGACTTAATTGGCAACAATAAAAATGGCTGGAACGGTAGAAATAAATTTGCTCACTGGATTAAGATACTTCACATATGCCGTTACCCCAAATGAAACATCGTTTGAAAGAGTTGAAGATGTCCCTAACTATGTGCAGCAGGTAACTATATAAATGTTAATTCGGAATATAGTCTATATGATATCGAAATATTTATCAAGTTACATCATCACTGCACTGAGACCCTATCTGTTGCAAGACTAACGCCTGGCGTAACCGTCACCATGTTATTCAGTGTTTTTTAAGTAGCGCAAGGATCCTGCCATGACCGTGGTAATGTTATCGTGAAAGCCTGGTATAACCGCGACAATGCTGTATTATATTGCAATGCCTGCCATGACCGTGACAATGTACAGTCGGTTTCATGGTAAAAATAGCAAGAACTTAACTTCGACATATAAGTGTTACCTGATGAATGGGACCCTCACGTGCCTTCCCAATGGTAGCTAACGAACCCTAGTGTAACTTCATCAGCTTATCTTTCCGTCCGATCAACAATAAGTACAGTTATACAAGAAATGTAAACGAAGTGAAAATATTCCAAAAAGATTTCCTAAAGGCATGTCATCTCCGGAAGTTATGATACGTTATATTACCGAACATGCGTGAAATGTGAACATCCAAGCATCGGGTATGACTCCACCATTGTTTTGTCGTTTTACTCCTTGCCACAATCAACCTCACTGCCAGCATATCAAATAAGGCCCGTTTCCCATGAAACTTGGCCCAACTACTATCAGGCAGATGTCCTTGAAAAATCAAGTTGACATAGTTACCCAAGCCTAATAGTTGCCATGGCAACCATAGAAATGGGCTAAAAATGAGGGCAAAAAAGCACCCAAACCAACCATAATGGCACTAATTTATAAAATATTTCTAGATATACAAATTTTCTTAAACTTTGATATCATCTGGAACACTTCTAGACAACAAAAATGTTAAAAAATGGGGGTAGGTTTACCACTTCAATTTTTTTCTAGGCTTGGTCAAAGTAAAACTACGAAAAGGCAATAATTTTTAATTTTGAATCACCTATTATCGCCAAAATGGCTATATTTTTCAAGGTCAAGGTCGCCATGCTAAAAGTTGAATTACGGAGATAAATCTGCTCTTCAGACAATGTTTGATAGCTTTTCTTCACCACGAGACACATCATCATTATCAGTGATCTCCCCAGCATTAAAGCAAATGGGCGCAGCACCCACCTGAGATTTTGAAAATAGGCTTGCACCCACCTGAAAATCCATTTGCCCCCACTTGAAAATGAGAAAAATTGGCATATTTTGACCAATTTTGGTCTGAATTGTGAAAATGAGAATTCTGCACCCACTTGAGAAAAAATCCTGGGGAGATCACTGATTATCATCAAATTCTGAGCTGATTGGTCTTGAAAAGTCCTGTAGTTGCTCAGATCTTAATTTAAATGTATGCAATAGATATTAAACTATATCATAGTGATAATTTAGCCAAAGTTTGTCTAGTCTCCCTTTAAACTGATCTACACTATGGGCGGTCACTACCTTCTCTGAGTGGCTGTTCCAGTCTTCTATAATTCAGTTGCTAAAGGTGTCCTGTCGAAGGGTGGTGTTACAGTGGTGTTTGTACATTTTCAGGGAGTGCCCTCTAGTGGTTGTGGTGGCTTTGGTAAAAAATGAGCTATGCTCTTTAGTGTCAATTCCATTAATAATTTTATTAACCTGTCTCCTCGTCTACGTCTGTAGTAGAGGGAATGGAGCTTTAGCTCTTTAAGCCTCGTTTGATATGGCTTATTCTTCAAATCTGGTATTATTTGGTAGCTCTTCTCTGTATCTGTTCTATTTTCACTCCTCTTCTAAGAGTCTTGGGTGCCATATAATGTTGCCATAGTGTAATATAGGTCTAATCATAGATTTGTAGAGTGGCACTATGATCTCCTTGGTGTGACTAAAACTTCTCTTGATAATTCCTAATTTACTATTTGCTTTTTTTTGCAGTTTGACTGATGTGTTGTTTGAATTTTAGTTCTTTGTCTATGGTGAATCCTAGGTCTTTCTGTTCTGTCACTGACTCTATCATGGTACCATCTAGGTTGTATTGTTGGTTTACGTTTTTACCACCTTAGTGTAAAACTTTACACTTTTTTTGGATTGAACTTTAATTGCCAATCATTTGACCAGTTAACTAGAGTGTCAATATCTTGGTGAAGGCTCTCTCGCTGTTCGGCACTGACATATTCCCCATAGAGTTTGGTGTCATCTGCGAAAATTTTGATTGAGTTTCTTATCTTGTCTGGGGCATCATTAATATAGTGTCAAAATGAAGGTTATGTATAGGGGATTGCAGAAATATAGTCATTGTATGGGCTAATTCATTCGAAAATGGCGATATGTACCCCAGAGGTGTGAGTACCGTAATCCAGCACCAAATTCGAAAATTCAGAACAATACTTTGCACAAATGGCGTTCGTGATCAGCTATAAAACGCTTACCCCCCATGGTGTTATATACCAAAATGTACCTGTTCATATAGGACTTCGATTGATCTACATTAAATTATAGGGAGTCAGGTTACTTTTTGAGATATCAGCGTCCATTTATTGTAACTCGCGTTTGCTACCATTTCCTCAATTCTGAGATGACGGGCATACGCGTAGTAAACATGCTCACGCCGGAACTATTTTGACCTACATCGCTATTTTCGTAATTCAAATGAAAGTAGAAGTCATCCTCTTTATTTTGATACCAAATAGTGGCATACTAGGTACCCAAGAAGCCAACTATGGCGTTATTTAGAACAAAACCACACATTTTTAAATGGACTATATAGTCATACCTTTTGGCGGATGGATATGGAACCTCACACCAGAACTTGAATTTTGTGATTTTTTTCAATAATTTACCGTAGTGACACCATAACGTATCATAACTTCCGGAAATGAATGCCTTTCGGAAAATTTTGGGGAGTATTTTCACTTAGTTTACATTTCTTGTATAACTGTACTTATTGTTGATCGGACGGAAAGATAAGCTGATGTAGTTACACTAGGGTTCGTTTACTACCATTGGGAAGGCACGTGAGGGTCCCATTCACCAGGTAACACTTATATGTCGAAGTTAAGTTCTTGCTATTTTTACCATGAAACCGACTGTAATATAGTTCTGCAAGGCTTGATATGACCGTAACAATGTAATATAGTACTGCAAGGCCTGGCATGACCGTGACAATGTAAAATAGTATTGCAAGTTCAGGTATGAGAGTGGTAATGTAGAAATTTACGATTAGGACTGCTATAACCGTGACAATGTGTATTGCAAGGCCTGACATGACCATGGCAATGTAATATAGTATTGCAAGGCTTGGTATGACCGCCATGGCAATGTGATATAGTATTCCAAGTTCGAGTATGAGAGTGGTAATGTAGAAATTTATGATTGCTATAATTGGCCGTGACAATGTGTATTTGAAAACCTGGCATGACCATGACAATGTATTATGGGATCGCAAAGCCTGGTATGACCGTGACAATGTAATGTAGAATTGCAAGGCCAGGTATGAGGGTGGTTAGTAGAGATTTAGGCTAGCTTAGTTCTACTATGACCGTTATAATGTATTGCAATGACAAGTAAATATGTATGACATTAATGCCAGGAATATCCTTAACAATTTTAAGTGATCCTCATTACATTTAAACAGTTTAATACTATGATCATGGTGTTTAACTACCTTAATCATGTCAAAATCAAAATTACTACTATACATATTAATATTCACATTCGCTTTTAAACCACAATAAAGGCTACGGTCGCGCCAGGCTTCCACGATAACACTTCCAGGGTCATGACAGGCCTTGCAATAGAATACAGCATTGTCACGGTTATACCAGCCTGTCACGGTTATACCAGGCTTACACGATAACACTACCACGGTCATGGCAGGATCCTTGCGCTACTTAAAAAACACTGATTAACATGGTGACGGTTGTGGCAGGCGTAAGTCTTGCAATAGATAGCATGTGACTGCACTGACGGACATGTGACATTAGGAGTTTGTGTAAACACTGGGTGACCACTGACCAGGCACATGCTATCTATTGCAAGACTTACGCCTGCCACAACCGTCACCATGTTAATTAGTTCAACGTCGTTAAACTCAATAACGGCGTTATTTATTATTAAGAATTTTCTTGGGGCCATTATTGAGTTTAACCTCTTTACTATTCTTTCCATTGATGCAAGTTTTGGATCCACCGAAACCATTTTTCCGCGATAACATGCAACTGATACTTGACAACAATATAAAAACACATAACATCAAGCGATTCAACACAATATTATTGTATTAAATGGTCATTTATACAAGTAAAATGAGGTTAAACTTACCAATCTCTAAAATGACATTTCCGCATGTCCTTCATTGTGTCTGTTCGTCCCGGGTTAAAATTTAAACTATTGAAACGAAATTGTTGTCAAATAGATTGATAATTATCACGCGATTACTCGGGATAAAATAGCCATTTTTGAGGATAGCAGGTATCTTTGATTGATTTATATAGCGCTTGTATACACACAAAATCGTTATTAATTGCAAACCTACTGTTCGTTGATGCAGTGTCGCAATGACGGTTAATTCCTGATACGATTTGCAATTTCGATGTTACCGGAGCTGACCGATATTTTCGTAAAATTCAAAACCTGTCTCCAATATTTTCGTAATTATGCATCAATATGGTCTAAGGGGGGTACGGTAGACTATATCCTATTTAGTCTGAATTATATTCAGACTATAAGGCACCTATGTTAAAGTTTGGTTATTCCAAATATTTGTTTACATAGGAAGTGCTATTCAAAATGGCCGATTGGGTAAAATTAATTTGCACATTTGTTACTTCAACTAGCTTTATTTCCACTTGACAATATGCTGTCTTACTTTTTATTGCATTTAATTGTACCTTACTATTTCATTGAAATTTTGTAATGTTTATTTTATTGAAGAAATGGTTCCTCCAATTGATAATTTTGTGCAAAAAATTTCACTGCAATTTCCACAGGAAAGTAGTACATCATAACAGACTGACTTCTAGTCAGTCTGTTGGATACATACTAGGGGGTACGGGGTGGTGTGTA